CCGCCGACGAATGGATTCGTCGAAGCATCTGGCGCATCATTGTCCCTTGCAGACCGGCACCTAGCTCCTTACCTACCCTCGAGAAGGAAAGTTAATCCCGTTTCCCCGCGAGAGGCATTGTGCGCGGCGCACAAAGAGCTCCGCTTCCAGGGGAGGCCCAGGATTTCAAGGGAGGGCCCGCGTTCCCTCGAATGAAATCGCATCAATTGCGCATCTTCCAGATGCACGCCTCTCGGAACCGGTAGGCTCGCGAAGAAAATTCGATAATCCTTCAGCTGCCCCGGGGAGCGTGTGTTGCGCAATAATGCGTTACTTTTCCGAAGGGGTGGCTCGGGATTTTGAAGCGCAGATAACCGACGCGTCGCGTCTCGTTCTCGCCGGTGTTTGAATTTCTTTTATCTTCGAGTGGAGGCCGTGATTTGTTTTGAACCGGTCCTTCAAAATTTATCTGACAATTAGAGCGAGCCTTTCGAGAGTAGACAACGATACGATTAGACAACAAAGAAATATGTTAGAGAATCCGTTATATAATGTAGTATTTTATGTTTCGACCGTTTGTACTTTACGCGAGACGTTACTGTAATACGTAACGATCGATTATAATTCGATAATGAAGATTATGATATAATGATTTTAGTAGAGTACGATGCGAATCGATTATTAGGTTCAGTTGTCACGCGTACAAGTGTGCGAATGATTATGTCGAGCACGAAAGTGACATTGATAGCCATCGTACAGATAACGAAGGCGTTCGATAACGTTGCAGTGTTTTTCACATGCTAAGCAGCAATTCGACAAAGGCTGCACCGCTACGGATTCGGCAACGGTAGAATACAAGCGTTCTTATTCGATCGTATAATCCAATCATGCTCGTTACCGTGACAACTTGTATCGATCGCGAAAGGAGTCATTCACGTATGATCTAATAAGTAATGAATATACATGATAACACAAACGCGAAACGTAACGGTTGCACGGTTGGAATGTTTTCCAACGCCCTAAGAAACGGTCCGAATTCGTTCGACGGCGAAACATTTAACGAACTCGCGCGTGCTCGCCATTCTTTTCCCGGCGATTTCGGTTAATTGCTTCGCATTGGCCATACGTGTCGTTCATTTGGCGGTTGCTGAGTGTGTTTGTAAACACGTAGCCAGGCCGTTGCGTCATCCGTTCGTATCACGGGCGTGCCTCCCGGTGACCTTCAAGTGGCCGCTGTCCTCTTCCTCCTAACGCTGACTTCATCAGAATTCGGTTACCAGCGGTGGACCCTAGAGGGGTTTCGTAGGACTGCTGCGTAGATTCGGGAACACGTGCCACCTGGAAAAATTGCGTCTCGCTCGCCGCATGCGAACGGTATCGCCGGTCGCGGTTACGCAACGTTATCACATTGTTTTCCATCGACCGGCCAGGTTGACAGTATATCTCGACGAAAACAGCATTATCTCGGAATTGTCAGGATACCGAGGGAACGGAGAAAGTACAGGCGTGTGTACTAATAACGGGAATCAGGACCTATCCGCGGCTCGACACTTGATACCGAGCATTAACGATGTCGGATATCAGATAACAAGCAGAACAAAAGAACCGTACGCGTGTGTGTTCCACGGTGATGCTCGCGCGGTGTCACCGTGCAATTCAATGCAATCGGCGGACCGAGGATATTAATTCGTATTTGAATGAAATGAGGTCTGAACAGATGTTAAATAGAAAGTTATTACTGGCTGCGGGGTTTTTATGGATCGGGTTTAATGAGAGTGGAGGGAAAGGGATCTTATGTCCGTTATTGACTCTGAATGGATGAAATTCGAAACGAAACTGTAGTAACTTGTATTGACGTTCGCCTTTTATGGTTTTCAACTACCAACTGCAGCACTAGGTTTACCGAGATTTATCGTATAGTTTGTTTCTAGGAGAATTAGTTCGCTTACTCGGATCTTGGAAATTCGAGGCTTGCGAATAGATGAATACCACTCGTAATTGCATTGATCAAAGTCTATGCGAACACTTAGCGAATAATGCTTCGATATGAAACTGATGACAACCGTAAAGCTGTCTATAAATGTTAGTAACACGAAACTGTCTTCGAGTTTCGGTATCAGTGTCTCGTTTTCTCGTGTACTGTAGGACGCAAAATGTACGCTCCAATTGACAGCTGTTCGATAGAACCGAGCCACGGAATTTCACAATGTTAGACAGTAACCAGCAGCAAAGGGAGTCAGGTATAATTCCATTTCCCTTGAAAACTCTACGTCCACAGCGGACAGCACTAAAACGTTAATAAAACCGTCTATTTCTCCGCGTTTCCCTTAATGGATGTCGCAACGAACGCCCAAACCTTCCCAGTATGGTAAAATAACAACAAACAAAGGGAACAACGTGTCCTTATATTCATTTCTCCCAGAAGCGTCGAGCGAAATCCACCCACGCCTCGAGCAGTCGAAAACAACGGCTCTCAGACGCGTTGGAGAAGGTTCTAGAAAAAACTGCGCTCTAGAAGCGTGCAACGAAGGGCGAACGAAATTCGCCCTTGATTCTAGAAACTACGCAGATCCCTGGGAGCGGCCCTTCGCGTTGGCTGGCACGATCAAAACAAACAAAATGCATACACAGCGAGCCGACCGGCGAACGCCGTTTGTGTACCAACACGGCAGGGAACGCGTTGCGACCGTTTCATCGTCTGAAAAAGAGAAGGAGGAAATGCAGAGTCGTGTGGGTTAGGTTATGGTGGGGATCGAAGGAGGAGAGAACGTGCTAGAATGCTCGTCCGGGGCTCGGTCGATCAATAATCTGTATTTTCCTTATTTCCCATGGAAAACGTTAAGAATCACGTCGATGATGGTGTCGTACGTTAGCTCTCGACGCGTTGAACACGTTTGTCTCGTTACCGGCCGAATATACAACGGGAATCGAGCTGAAATGACCGGTTACAAGGAAGTGCGCATTAGGTTTCGGGCGCCGGTTGCCGGTACAACTTCTAGAACGTTCCACACTGCGACGTTGCCGGGCTATATAAGAGCGCCGGCTGGGTCTGGTCGGCGCATTCGTAAATTTTCCTTCGTTCAGTTCGGACGTGACGAACACCCGAAGACCCACCAACCAGTGAACCATACCCCTCCGCTTCTTTTACGTGGTCCACGAGGCTGCTGACCAACAGGACGAGAAAATGTAGACGAGGAGGTCCGGTGCGGAGCGTGACAGTTTACGTGGGTATTATTTTTACATGGTTTTGATTTTTTTTTAACATTTTTTAAATCTTTCAAATATTTTTTTTTTCTGAATCCTCTTTCTGTTTGCTGTGCCTCTCTTGTTTGGTTTTATCTATATTGATGATCGTCCGCTACGGCGTCACTTCTGATAGTTTCGAAATGGCAACAGTGTATCCGGAAATACTACGTTTGTTTTGGTCCGAAGCTACTGTTCAGTCTTTGAGAATTGATATTGATGGTATTCAGATGTTTTAAATAGTTCAGAGTTAATATTTGCAGTTCTATAAATATTGGAGTATTTATTTGAATTTAACAGTTGAACTGAATGTATAGAATTATCTGGTTGCATATTGAGTATTGAATATTTTAAAGTTATTAAGCATTGAATATAATGAGATTACTGAGTATTGAATACTTTGAAATTATTGACTATTGAATATTTTGAAGTTACTTAGTACTGAATATTTTGAGGTTTAGTATTGAATCAGAAGTGACACCGAGTGGTGAATACATTTGAAATATTTTTATGATGTAATATTGTATATTGTTAGGGAATAAATTTAAGAAAATAATTCACTATTACTTGAAATTTATAAAGATCTTTATATTTCTTTTAATACAACGATATCGTATCACAAAATTTATGAAATGGTATTTTTTTTACATTATGCTGTACGAACGATCTCTTAAAAATTTGTATATAAAAATACGATGAAAAAAATGGTATATGAATTTATCAACTTTTTGGGGGGGCTGATACCAATTTTTTTATTCCGTAGTAGTTTCCACTTTGACCGGTTTGCTCGCGGGTTCCCCGGTTTTGACGATTTCTATCATTCGTTCGCCCCCGCTGGGCAGCTCGATCTGAAACGAAGAGAAATTTTCAGTAATAACGTCAAATTCTAACGGGGCAAAAAATAAAGAAACCAGACTTTTATTGTATTTGTATTTTTATAGTGCACCCTACGGGGTCGGTGCTTGAACAGTCCGTACGCAACGATAATTTGGTCTGACTAGAGTTTGAAATTTCCTCACATTTCGAACAGTTTGAGAAGAGCACTTCGAGATACATGCCATTAGGTAAGCGGTCATTGCACCGATGCATTTCAATTATCTTGTTACGTTCTCGTTACCGCGAGGAGAATGTATTTTCGGAAAATATACGATGTCAAGGAAGATCACGATTTGCCGGGTTTAGCTTCTTTCGAGTGAAACCCTATTCGAAATGTGAGAGGATCGTTGACTATAAACAGACTCTATAACATTAAACATTACTGGAAAATTGTTGTTCATAGAAAAAGGTCTTTAAACGATGAAATCATAATTGTGCTGCATGTATATCACTAGAACTACCGTACCAGTCGAAACGACTGATTTCGATATTCTTGTTTTGCAATTGATATTTTAAGAGCATAGAATATTCGAAATCTTGAAAATAATTTCTTTGGATACTATAATGAATATCTGAATGTCTTATTAAATGCTCGATAGCTCTAGTAATCGAAATACAATGTTATACTTAATTGAATTATTTATATGTATAAATATGTAATATATAATGTGTATATATATATATCAGTGGCAACGTTCAAAGCCATTTTTTATAACAATTGACCATTAAGGATGAAAATTTGGGGGTTCGTTTATGTCAATCGATCCCGATGTTTGAAATCAGGTTGCATTTGCAAGATGGCCGAGAGGTCGTGACCTTTCCTTATTAGTGATCACGGCTTCCGGTGTCGCTACTTAACGTTTCACTTGAACTTGGCGTCAAGGTCTACGTTTTCAACAACGTTTTCGAATGATTTAAATGCTATTTTTCTACGAGACGCGGCTTAAAAGTTTGATTAATGAAGTCAAGATATAATGGTAGCGTCACTTTCAGCTTCGTAGATCCGACCGTAGATGTCGTTTGTCTCCGTTCTTTAAGTTAGGTTCTACCGTGTATTTTCACGATGTCTGCTCGATATTGAGAGAATCTGAAAGTACCAATTCGTTAATATTTCGATGAGGAACACTTTGTAGTCGGTTTTATCGATTTTAACCGATCTTCAATTTTGTTAGCTGTAGAAAAACTGGGGATTGCGAAGTGTCTTAGACTGAAAATTATTTTTACATTAGAATTGAATACTCATCCGCGAACTTTGTACTGAAAAATTGTTTTCGAGCAAAATATTCGAAATATTCAGAAATTAAATAGGCTCTCGAATGCTTGGTCCACTTCTACGATTAATAAATTCCATTGCAAGCACTTTTAATCGTACGATCCGTTAAGAGTGTCGAGTTGAAGTCGATAAAAGGCATAGTTACTGCACGAGTGCGCCTCATCCACGTGAAAATCTTTAATCCAGCCAGACGTTCTTTTTATAGTTTAGAGCAGACTCGTAGTTTGATCGAGATAAATCGTCGGCACTCCATCTTCTCTAAAACTACCACAACGGCCGAACCGGATCATTGGAATCGAGAGTCATAAACCGAAAGTAC